TACTTGCTGCAACCTGGTGGGAGACATGGGGTAGTAGCGTTGTTTAATTGGGGAAGCATCACCGGTATCTATCTTGTGTTCAACCAAGTGAGTTCTACCTAAAACTTTGTCCGGTTTGTTGTCGAGATATTTATCTAAAAGTCTCTCCAAGATAAGTTTCTGAGATTCTGATAAGTTACTCTCATCTAAGAGTCCAACAGAGCAAATTTGACCAGCCGATTTCAAACGATCAGAAAATTCCCAACTTTTGTTGTAGGCATCCATGACTAAGTGCATTTGATTCCAAAAATCTATTCCCAAAATTATACCTTGTTCTAAGGAAGGGACAACCAAAATAGTTAAGTATTTTGTCTTATGAGCCAGAGTAAGAGGTAGGGTAACTTTGCCTGTAACAATATGTTTCTTCTTATCAGCAGTCAATATGTACTGATCAACCAGATTTTGTAGCCTTGCAGGAAATTTATCAAAAATCCACATGAGTTCTTTGACCATAACAGTGTGGGATGCACCAGAGTCCAGTAGTGCTTTGCAGGGAGTTCCAAAAATACGAATAGTGAGATAAGGACGAGGATCGTTTTCTTTTGATTCCAGTAGAAAATTTAACTCCATAGGTGGTCCAGCTAATTTATGACAGTTTTCTCCATCTAACGGTTTTTCAGGATTTTTATTATGGAGCAATCTACGATTATTTGCAGAATGCTCCATGCTTACACGTTTTTTGGCATGCATTTAGAACATTTCCTTTTTGTGACTCCTGCTTCGCCACAACCAAAACAAAATATTTTTTTCTCTTCAGGACAATCACGATGACTGTGATTCTCTTTCTTACAGTTCCAACATTTGAATGGCCGATTAGAAGGAGCTCTAGAAGTCGAAGGGTTTACGTTAGTGTTCATGTAGGCTATGTTTCCATGAGTTGGCTTCCGACGAGTAGGTGTCCACGCGAGGTCTGGTTCCAAAACTCCAGTGGGTCGAGGTGGGGGTTGGTGAGTGGATGAACGTAGTTTTCCAACTTCAGCTCTCCTGCCAAGACGACGTAGATCATCAAGCGAAGTAATGTTAAACATACACAGTTTGTCTTGTAGATATGTATTAACATTCCTTAAAATCCGTTGAAGTTTCACTTCCTCTGACATAGGAGTCGAAAGTCTTCCAAACAATCCATCCATGGCAGCTAGGTATAGATCCAAACTCTCAGCTTCACCTTGGGTGCGATTCAAAATCTCCAACTGTAGACGATCATCATAGTCAGCGCTTTGGAAAACAAGTTTCAATTCTTCTTTCAGTTGATCCCACGATGAAATTCTCCGACAAGCTGAACGATACCATATAAGTGCAGTCCCACTAAAAAGATCAACAGCGCTATCATAAAGTTCCTTAAATGAGACCCCTCTGGCCATACTAAGCTCTTCAGCCCTTTCAATAAAAGATGCAACACTTTGACTGCCTTCACCATCATACTTCAGATTCCATTTGTACACTGGCACCATCTTGGATGTCGGTCGTAGTCCTATACTAGGTTGTTGATTGGTAGACGAAAATTGAGTGAGGGATGTCGATAAATCACTTGGCTTGGACGAGGGTGCATCTTCAGTTTCTTTATAATTTAGGTCCTTGCTAGCGGTAGATAGTTGTCTAGAGTTTCCAGTACCTGGCTTAGTATTTCCATCCATGTTCTCTACTGTTTTGAAAGTACTCTTAAGTTCATCAAAGCTATCAATGAGGTCTTTGATTTTTCCTAGCAATGTCTTCTGCCTATCCTCTAAGTCAGTGTCTGATGAAGCAGGCAATGGAATTCTTTCCACGCGCCAGTACCAATGCCATAATCTTGCTTGAATTCTTTTATATTCGTTATCTTCTGTATTTCCCTCATAATCCTTTACAAGCTTATGTAAATCTGAAAACTTCTCTTCACAAGTCTCTATTTCATCATTTGGGTCCAGTTGAGCAACAATTTTATCATCAGCCTTTACATTTTTGGAAAAGCAAGAATTCAATTTTTTCCTCAGTTCATCTGCGTTTCCCTCAATTTCAACACCTCTAATCCTTAATTCATACTCGATTTCAGATCTGCGCAAGTTGTGAGAAGTCATATTGATCGCTGATATAAGATTCCACAATGAAAGAGATGTGCTCATAAAATGGTAGATATGATATCAAGTGACAAAGCTCAGTAAAATCAACAATAATAAACAAGTACAAACAATCACCAACAGAATAATAAATAATATTTCACGTAAATCCCAAATATTTACAAGTGTACAATGCTAGGCCAAGATTATCAAAATTTTCCATAAAATTCTTCAACAGTAGATATGTAGAACCAGTTCAACTAATCTCGCCCCACGTTGGGCGCCAAATGTAGCGGTCCCAGTAGCTCAGTCTAGGGGGTGGGGGGTTTGACCAAAATTTCAAACTAATTTCTTCAAAATTCAATAGCCTAATATTTCTTTATCAGTTTTTTTTGTATATTTTTTTTTGTATTTTTCTTGGTATACCTTTTTTTTGTTTTTGTTTTAAGAGGGCGCCACCTTGTTTTCAAAGCAGGGGGGAAGGGTTATAACAAGGAAAAAAACCCATATATGATATAAAAATAGTGAAGGTGAGATATCACTTGACAACCAATATGAATTAAAGATCTATGAAATAAAACAAGTCTAGGATGATTCTAATCACTAAACACTAGCAAGAGTGATAACACACTTAAATATTCTACCAAATAAAACCCTTTATCAAAATAGTTTAATGAAATTCCAAATTATTTACTGGTAGATAAGTTGATAAAAATTGAGATAGAAAAATTATTTAAAGTTTTGTGAACTATGAGGAATCAAGATTTTAAGTAAATGGCTAGATAATGAAAACACTTAAAATATGCAAACCTGGATTTATTACAATAAAGAATAGTAGAGTATCAAGTTTATAATCAGGCCTAAGCAATGTACTTTATAATACCAGAGAAATATAATCAAAATACCTTGGCCGGCCAGAAATTCCTGGAAAGATTATATCAGATATACACACACACTTAGGCTACAACTATACAAACACATAATAAATGGTGAGCTGACAACTCCTGAAAATGTGAATCAATATAAATCTATACACATATATACAATACCTAACCTAATACCCAAAATTCTCTAAACTTTATATATTTAAAATTAAGTCCCACTCCATCTTAAGTCAGTCTAGAGCCGTTGATGGTCGTCCGAAGTCGAGTGTCCAGCACTAACACAATTCCGGTATATGATCCTTGACTTTATCAGTAGTATTTCAATAAAGTTCCTGGTTATCCTTAATTTGGCCTCAAAGATCAAATTCTAACTAACTGGTACCAGTAATAAAGAGTTCAAAAAGTTCATCGAAAGAAATTAAATAAGATATATGATATGAGGTATGCCACTTATCGGTACGATGTATACAGCAGGTACGAGAAGGTAGCGACCAAGTCGGTTGTGGGTCAACAAGTCGTGGTGTCAGCAGAACCCAGGTATAGGTACAGGTAGGCAGTAGGTAGGTGACGACAACTGTAGTGGCTCACTGTAGTCAGGCACGTCTTCTCCCAGAGTAATCCCTGAGCATATACAAGAAATAGAAACTAAACCCTAATTGAGATATACTATTCACTAACATTTAAAACTGTGGACCTTTGTCTATACTAACAGTGAGAAAATTGATTCTTGAAATTAATCTCAATTTTAAAACAAGAAAAATAAATATTTTAAGTACAACATTTATTTATTATCTACAAAACATGTTCAAATTATGACATCATTTACAACCTATTTAAGTTGATAATTAAATTGGATTTCTACAAAATGAACAAATTCTTACTGGCAGGGAGTGTACGTTAACGTTACGTTGTATGGTACATTTAAACTTGGACAAATTAGTCAAATTGTCTTGTAACTTCAAAAAAATAATGTCAGCAACACTTTAACCACAAATAAGATTTCTGTAACACATAAATTTATTTATAAACTATTTCTTGATATTTCAACCCTAGCCTAGGTTTCATAACATATCCAAATAAATTTTCATAAACATTTAAATCACCACTGGTACATATTAAAATCATCTTATTGCATAAAAAAAACAATCAAACATTTAATTTAATATCCAGTTGACCCTAGAAATAATAAAACAGTAATACATTGTAGTAAGTTGATTTTAGGAATTGAATCACATGTCTGTAGGACATGAAAGTTTCAAATTTAAACCTGTCTTATGTTGCATAAGGCTTAAACAATTTTTGATTTATACAAGTTTAAATAACAAAATAAATAACTGGAAGTAAAGGCAAAGTGACATAAAGAGAAATTTAACACATTTACAACAAAACATTTACAAATATTTAACACAACTATCATTTTACATATTTTACATTTTACAAGTTATCATGTTTGTTCATTCTGGTTGTCAAATCATTTTATTCATAAAATATTATAATTCCAAATTTCAACAAAGTTAACTTTTAAGTTCAAAATCTCAAAACATTATTTATAAAATCATTTTATAGTTTGTCAAAAGAAAATACCTCACCTTAGCTAGATCCATAAAATGGGCAAGGAGGGAGTATAGACATGAAGATAGATTTCTGGATGTAGATGTCTTCACTGGCAACCTGACACTGAGAATTTAGGAAGAGACAAGGGGGGAGAGGTTATGCAGAGTAAAACATGTTTGTGTTTGCCTTTGTTAACTTGGAAAGTCCAGCTGATTATTGTTAGGCCGGCTGGAGCTGCAGCTATCCAACTGATAAACTTACTGACAGGGTGATCAGTCCTGTATGCCCAATGATTAAAATTCAACTTTTCTTTCCTGTTAAATAATTGTTGTAAAACTGTTACAACCTGTGACCACCTATTTGGATTTGAGATTGGCTTTGTCCGTCCTTCTCGGCTTTGTTAGAACAGCTGATCACCAATCCTGTGTTGCTAGTATCCAATCATCTGCTAGTAGTAGGCCTGTCTTGAATGGTCATGTGTTTGTTGTAGTGGATGCAGTGGCACCATGGGACCAGTGCTTTGGTAGCTGCTGTCACCACAGGGGAGGTCTACATGTGGAGGATACCAGGAGGAGAGTGCAAAGTGATACCAGGACACGCAGCCAACTCGGACTGTGGCGTCATCATGCCTGATGGTGAGAATAATATCACAGTGATATCATTGTCTAATTAATAAATATACTACAAGGGCACCCATGTACGAATTGCACATTTAAAAATGATCACTGCATTTGAGTGGTGGTCGGATACGAAAAAATGTTTAATTAAGATTTTTACCTAATTGCTCAAGAGACAGTTAGTCCTTCAATGTATCTTGAGCAATTGGATAAAAATATATAATTTAAAAATTTTTGAGTTCTTTTGAAATGATTTCATTAAGATTTCCATTATAGGGTTCTCGGGGAAGGGTTATTTCCCCCCTCCCGTAGCTAAGCTATTTATTTATTTATTTATTTATTAAACATACTCACATTACATCAATTCTCTTGACAGGTAATTTGTCACAAAGTCTAATACTAATACTATACTACATTTTAAAATAAAATAGCTTACAAAAGAAATAAAGCATATAATAAGCTACAAACCTATGGGAGAAGCAATACCTTTCAAATATACTCATTTTCCAGATATTCCTCTAACGAGTAAAATGCCCTCTCCAAAAGGAAATTTTTTAAAGATAGTTTAAATTTAGAGAATGAGGCAATGTTTTTAATCCCAGCGGGTAATTTATTGTAAATTTTTGGTCCCATATACTGAGGGGATAAATGAAAGATTTTAAGCCTATGTTGAACTGGTTTTATAATATTTTTGAATCTTGTGTTATGTGGATGAGATTGTTGACAGTCCATGAATGTGTCGAAATCACTTTTAACCATTAATGCCAATTTGTAAATATAAGAGCTAAAAAAAGTTAAAATTTTAAAATTAATAAATAAATCTTTACAATGTGTTCTACGGGAGACTCTGGCCATTAATCTTACAGCTCTTTTTTGGAGAATAAATATTTTTTTGGCCTGGCTTGATGAGCCCCATACAGTAATTCCATAATTCATAATCGATGAAAAATATGCGTGATATACTACTATTTGTGTTTCTAGATTAGTAGTATCCCGAATTATTGTGAGAACAAATGTTGCTGAGCGTAGTCTTTTTGATAGGTTTTTAATGTGTTTTTGCCAATTTAGTTGTGAATCGATTTCTATTCCCAAATAATTTATTGACTGTTGTGAATGAATTGTAGTTAAGTTTGTATTTACAATTATTTCTTGGTTAATATTGGATGCAGAAAACTGAATTAGTTGAGTTTTTGCCACATTCATGGACAGGCCATTTACTGCAAACCAATCCCCAAGGAGTTGAAATTCCTTAGTTATTGAGGCTTGAATGAACTCATTGTTTTGTCCTGTGCATATTAAAGCGGTATCATCTGCGTATTGAAAGGTGGACATCTTAGTAGCATTGCATAGATCATTAACATAAATAATAAATAAACAAGGGCCGAGAATGGAGCCCTGAGGAACTCCATTGGGGTTAATGTTCCACTCTGATTTATAATTTCTCTGCATTTTTTGTAAAATAAGTCTTTGTTTTCGGGTCTTTAAATATGATATGAACCATTTTAATTCAGTATTTTTTATTCCATGCATACTTAATTTTTCTATGAGTATCTCATGATTCACACAGTCAAAAGCCTTGGATAGGTCACATAGCACACCCACAGTCTTCTGCGATCCATCCAAGGCTTCCGCAATGTAGTTAATCATTTTTGTTATGGATTTTTCAGTACCGAGTTCTGGGCGGAAACCAAACTGTGAAGGATTTATTAAATTATTGCTTTCTAAATATTCTGTTAGTTGAATCTTTACAATTTTTTCAAAAATCTTTGAATCTTGGCTACTGCCTGTTTTGATGTTTGTTTGTTTGAGTTTTTTGCTGAAGCAATCTCAACACCTAGAAGCATCGGTCTACCCCCCTGATGTGTGTTTCATGTAGAAACCATTTAGTGTGCCTACTGATGTAACCAGGCCCAGACTTAAGACTTCAGGGGCCCCTGGCAAATTTGCCAATGGAGCCACCAGTATGAACATACGAGTAACTTCATTGTATATGTATTTACGACACAATATAGGCTAATACGTCAAAATGCACACTGGTTTTAAAGCAATGTAAAGGTGAAATTATAAACCTGTTAGGATATCAGTATGCTGTATTTTGTATAAAGAAACAAATTTTGGATAATATTTTTAAAGTTAAGTAAGAAATTAGGTTACAATGTCCGGTTTTATGATTTAGTAACTATATTTATTAAAATTCAATAAAACACATTAGCAGGTACTGTATCTTGTAAATTCTGTGCAATACTACATTAAAATGTAATATCCTCTGCAAGAAATCATGAAAAATATAGCCAAATTTACATAGTAAAAATAAAATAGCACATACCGTAGTAAGGGTTATAAAAATTTAATTTTTTTACTGTAATACACACACACACTCTATTTGAGTCTTGAATGAAATAACAAATTAAAAAAAAAACACCAACATAAATTAATGGACTAAGTAATATTCAAATGTACGTTAAATAAGTAAGAATGCATACACTTTGAAAGCTTTATTTCAACAACTATAAGCTTACTACGTTTATCAGATATGATAGCTTGTGCCTTGATACAATAAAAGTGGCGATACAATTACAAGTTTACTCCAAATCTATTTTATCTACCCAGTAGTTCTTAGTCAAATATGGTTGTACTATTTTCTCCATGAACCATGTTTCGTGGATCTGAAGGTGTGTACCAATCACCTGTATTATGTGAAGCCTTTTACTCTGAGCCAATGTTTTCAGCCCAATTCTGTCCTCCACGTACAGTTTCGAAGCAAACATTGTTCTTACCCTTACATTGTTGTTGTTATCATTGTTGTTGTTGTCATTGTTGTTGTTATTGTTGTTGTTGTCATTGTTGTTGTTGTTATTGATTTTTTCGTAAAACCCAAAAAATGAAGATTGTGGAGGGTCAATCTTTTCGTCATATTCAAATTGCAAAAGTACTAGATTTTTAAGTTTGATGAGGTTTGTCCTGTAGAGTTCATTAGGGTTATTTATATCTTCATTATTTATGTCCGCTAAGAACTTGTCTTTCCCGGCTTTGCCAAACTTTCCTTGGTGTTGTGTTCCTAGAGTTATTAGATTAAAGATAGGAGGGTTTGAGCATTTTTGTGCTACTGCTCTCAAATACAACCCACCATCACCAAACCCCACTGCATGGTAGCCCCGTTGTAATTTCTTGTCTTCAGCGATCATCTTGCAAGCCATGTCTACTATTTCCATTTTGCTTTTATTTTTAAACACAGATTTTAATACGTCTGAAAAAGATTCGCTTTTACCCATCACCACAGATTTAGTTATGTCCAAAAGCCTTTCGGAGGTCCACTCTAAACACACAATGTAAGCAGAGGACAACGATTCTTCACTTCTTATAGTTCTAGTTGCATCTAAGATTTCCTCTGACTTACAAGAATTCAACTTGCCATTCCACAAAACAATCGGTGTTGGACCAATGTGGGGTTTGTCTTCTTTTCCATCAACATTGATCACCAATGACAAAATCAACACTGAAAATAAAGTAACAAGAAACATCACGAGATGTAAAACTGAACCTTCCATGGTTAAAGCATGCCACTAACTGTTCCATTTCTCTTGTCATCATTGCAATTTTCTGTACTTGCCATTTATCTAACTAGAACTGTAATTAATCATCAGATTATCGTGTCACTCATTGGCTTATGGTTGTAAGTTAACATGCCTGCTTATAACATAAATTTTACATTAAAAAGAGACCTTTTAAAAATATGTTTGATACAACAGAAACATGTCATTATAGATGTCAATGACGTTATAAAAATGTGTTATGATTATCAAATCAATTTATAAAATACTAACAATATAGCTCACATTAAATAAGAGTACAGTTGAACCTCTATAAGACGAATTTCAAGGGGTACGGGAAAAATTTGTACTATAGAGGTATTCTTAATAAAGAATTTCAAGGGGTACGGGTAAAATTCGTACTATAGAGGTATTCTTAATAAAGAGGGTCGTTTTATCGAGGTTTAATGCTGCTGTTATTCACAAATATATTCTACTTACTCACGATTATTCGTTGTATAGAGGTAAATCAGTCCTAGCCCATATCACAAACAAATTCGTCTTATGGAGGTTTTTAACTTAATTATTACGTTGTATAGAGGTGTTTTTAGCATTGACCTATATGAAAGTGTCAAGGGGATTAAAAAATTTGTCTTATCGAGGAATTTGTTTTATTGAGGTTTGTACAAACGAGGTTCAACTGTACCAGGAGACTGAGCTTTGCTCGGATTCAATAAAACATTAATTAAAAAATAAAGTTAATTATTGAATAGAAACTGCAAACCTTCTCATTGGCCAGTAGCATTTGGATAATAATTTTGTTTTCCTACAGTCACCCGACAAAGTTGGCTTCCTTGTACTGTTTATAGTACAGAAAGCTGCTAATTACTGCATATTTATACTTTGACGTACGGTTTATACTTTGTCGTACGGTTTATACTTTGGCGCACATCAGGATTCAAGCACACAGGAAGTGTAGCAAAGATAGCGCGGTATTTTAAACTTGTTGAATATTGTCCGCTTGCAATGTGGGTGCATAATGCTTATAAAATAAAAAATCTCTAATCCGCCAACATGACGTCTTCATAGGTTTGAGGAAGTTCAGACTTTAATGCGCTGACGTTGTACCTAGTAGAGCAGTAATTTTCTACCATCCTGCTCAAGATGATCGGCCTGAGGTTCATCATATTGCTCGGCCATAAGATCTGAAATTTGTTAACCACTTTCATTCTGCCATGCACGACTTGGCCGAGGTTCTGAGACATCTGGTGAGATGTATGAGCTGGTTGGATCGGGTTTGGTTGTTTCCGAAGTGGTCAAATTTGTTTCTCGATGATCGATTGTAGCTTCTCTCCCTTGCCCTTGCAGATTCTGTAAATATTTTCGCTTCGGAGGTCTTTCCTGTTTCATCTTTAATCTTGAGATTAACCTTGAAAACATTAAATACTAATATGTACCTAATAAACTAACTAAATACAACTCATTTAACTATTAATGTTTTGTCTAAACTAAGCAATGCAGTTGTTTTTGTTTACACGTAAATCAAATTATGACATTAAAAATAACTTGTAACAGCTGTTTTTGTTAACTGCCGTTACAAAAATGTGTTGCCGATAACATCTGCACTTTCAAGGGCTGTAGGACAAAAACCGGATTTTCCCCAGCATTTTGATCAACTCCAATCGATATCTCGTGTCCAAATACCCCATATTCACCAACAAAAAATCTTAATTCCTCAGGCGAAAATAAAAGTTTGCTCGTACATACACGCTTGTTTTAGAGTAGCCTATAGGATTTTTACAAAATATTCTAGATGGATTTAAATTCTTATAAAAATGCAAGGTATTAGTTTGATTACGTCAATTTTTGTTATGTAATGAAATAATATAACATGTTTCTTTGACTCAAAATAAAATTATGATTATCATTTGTTTATGTATAATACCAGAGGACTGAGCTTTGCTCATGGTGTTTAATCTGTTCAAGAGGTTAGACAAATAAAAGATAGGCCTACATTTGTAGGTTTCCTTGATATTATAAAATTCTGTCTAAAATATGTAATTAACAAAATTGGTATAATAACATTTTATCATGCTCAACTATTGGTGCTATTTAAAAGGCTGTACAAAATTTGTGCATGGCCTTGTTGTCTCAAGTCATTGAAAAGCATTTTGAATAATCATGCATTACTAACGCAGCAAAAAAATACCAAAAATAAAAAAAAACCTGTATTTAAAAATAGCATGACTATAGTCTTTTTTTACCTGGGCCATTATACTGTATAAGACTTGATGTTATAATAGTTTATAGACCTAGCTTATTTTGCCTTATTTTATAGCTTATTGGCTTAAGGTATATTTGACAGCAGGTTTCCTCTCCGGTTCAATTAATTGACCAAGCCGATTGACCAGCGGTTCCCAAACTCCCACCTGGTGGGTATGGTGACCCACTACCACCTTCGAATTTTTTTTGTGACCCACCAATAAAATAATAATAGGCTGTAATTATTTACTACCATAAATTTATTAATATTATGTAGTACACTGAGAAACACAAAACTAAATGAAAATTGTGAGGATGATGTTATTGAAAATATAATATTTAATCTAAAAGACTATAATTTGGGAAATTTTAAATTACCTGATGTTTATAATTATTGTTATATTATTGTTATGTATAAATTATAACAGAAGTTTCGGCCTACCATTTCAAGAAGGTTTATCTAGCTAAAATTAATGTTAACTGTAAGTGTTGGGCATTTTCCACACACATAGCCTATTTCTATATTTAATTTTTAAGCAGGTTGACATCTCACAAATAAGTTTTTAAGACCTATTTAGGTCTTTACAATACTACTGAATTGATACAATTTCTTTATATAGGTATACTTTTTACACACCATTTAAACATATCATGGAACATTTTCTTAAAATTCTGCAGTTAGAAGTTAAAAGATGACAAATATGTTATCGACTAATATGTCGTCGTCTTGCGCGTACCGCTATAGTGGTAATTTTCCGATCGCGCAGCCGTGATGGTTGTCGGTAATGGAATTGACTTTTTGATGATTGATTTTTGATAACAATACCAATGACCAAGTATTGGTGTTATCTAGAGAATCGGTATTGAGAATTGAAACATCCCTAATTCATATTTAGTTATTTCTAGGGCATTTTATGCTACGGGCTCAGCCACTTACTATGGTGAATAATCGGGAATTTACTTTTTTTTAATTTTAATTATGAAACTGGCTACAACTTAACAAAACTAGGAATGTCTACAGTACAGTCCTTGAGAGTCTGCAGTTGAGGGAGGAGCCTATTTACCACGTGACTCCGGAGGAGCCGATGAGGACAGTGCGGTGTTGCCAAATCTAATAATACGAGCTGATTTGAAAATATTGTTTAGTATATTTTAATTAGTGAACGGGTGATGTAGCAACGTTGCGCTAGTCCAGTCTTGGTATTGCTATTGGCTGCCACCAATTGCAGACTCTCTTGGCCCCTAGTATAGTTTAGTTAATGGTCAAAGGTTATTCATACATTTTAAAACTAACAGATGTTTTATCTCTACAGGACGCAGAGTATCGGTGGGCTACTCGGACGGCGCAGTGAAGGTGTTTGAACTCAAGACTGGCGCAGTCCAGGGCTCGTCCGCGGTGGGAGAGGCCCACTCCCTGTCTGTACTCTGTATTGAAGCGTTCAGTGACAACAACATCATTGCCACGGGCGGCGCTGATGGGAAAATAAACCTCTTTAAAACTCAGCCTTCTCTCAAGGTTTGTATTTGGAATGTTTCCACTCTTAAAACTTAGAAAGAACTTGTAAAGAACACTTAGTAAGACCTGGGTGAAATAAGAAGTCAAATACTATTACAGGTTGGCCCTCTAACCCGTAAACTCTTATTTTACTTCCACCAAAATTATCAATCTGCTTACTCTGTCGGTTATGTAAAAACTGTGGTAGGTTTGGCCTGATACAATCCAACCCATACCTTCTTAAAGGTCTATTAAACATCAATTTTGCAGGGGTTTGGTTGGTAGTTAGGTGCACAGTATTCCTATAGTCTAAAAAAAACTTTCACAAAGATAAATATACATTGTCCTTACTCATATTAGCTAGCTTAATTACTGTATTATTTCCTTAACATTTTTGACAGAGTTTTCGGTTAGACAGTTTGTAGCTCGATGAAAGGTGGTGTCAATGTGTGTGTGATTCCAACACATTTCAAAAAATCTTTTAGATTTTGAAGAAAAAAAGATTTTAATCGCAATATTTAGATTTTTCAAAACGATTTTTCAAAAATATTTAAATAAATCAATTGGATGATCAACCCTTCAAAAAAGTTGTTGTGTCAATAAAAAATTTTAAAATGGGAATTTATTATTTTGATTCTGAAAGTCAGCGGACACCCTCAGGGCAAAATGTACAGCATAAAGGTGATGTCCTCGAAACCAAGCTGATTATTTTTCACTCTAGGAATACAAGAGTGACTTCAGCCCAATCTGCATGTATAAAAACAACCGTTTTACCAAGCAGTAGCAGTATGACAAAAAAAATATTAATGCCTCTGCATGACAATACAACTTCTGTTAGCGTATGTATGCAACGTGCACGTCACTTCAACACACTCCAGATTGATTTTTTGTTTAAGTATTTTGGGACTTGTTGCCTTACTTAATTTTTTTTTTCAAGCCTAGGAAAAGGTTGTCTGTTAACTAAGGTCTACAACAAGCGGCAGACACTACCAAAAAAGCTAATTTGAGACAATGGTTTGAGTTGAGAAAACCTGTTTGCGGATTAGCATGTTTAAGACTGTCAAAGTTTACCATTGTTCGTGGCAGACTATGTGACGTCCCCTATCAGTTGAGCAATCTTTCGTCAACACAGCAATCCGCATGTATATACTTACTGTGGTTATTGTCTCGTTGTAAAATCGTATAATTGTTTATTGTCTCTGGATTCTCTACCTCTTATTAAAATGTTTTACGTCCAACACTTTTATCCATTCACATCTCATCAAATAAAAAAAATACATGAAAAAAATTGGCTTCTTAACAAATAAACTCTCAATCAAAGAATACTTTAAGATCCTTTATTGTAGAGGGCGTAACAGTTCTCTCACATAGTTATCGACTTCTAAGACGGAACTGATTGTCGCATAGTTGTTGAGACCAGCTGTAAAAATAGTGGGGGAAATAAAGAATACGGCACTGGTGCTTCAATCTCGCATGGTGACGATTGAAGTTCTTATAAAACTTTATTTACAAACAACCCTCATATTTTAAGACAGCTCTTGTCTCTGATTTTGTGTAGTAGTAACTAAATGTTTCCCACAGTCAGTTTGGAGTCTAAGTTGTGGCGAGCAAGATGACTCCAACACTTGTATTGAGACTATCAAGTTCAGCAGAGATCCTACTTTACCCCTGCTGGCCGCTGGAACTCTCATTGGCATCCTGTACATATTGGACTTTACCAAACAGGTGAGGGAGCTGTAATATACCACTTGCAATAACTGACATTGTGCAATACCTATTTGTTTGTCCACTTTGATTCACACAGGGTTTACCAAAACACCTCATAGGCTAAATGAATCACCATGATGAGGGGTGCCAAGTTAATCAACATTTTTTGTCAGAAACTTTTTTAAATGGTTTACACTCAAAAATCTTTTACATGTTACTTGTTCTTCACATATCAAATTCTCTTTGCACATCAATTATTACTTTGGAGGAAGTTATGTATATATACTCATATACTCATGGAGGCTGCTAGACGGGCAAACTGTACACTTGGCTATCAAGCTGTTTGTCAAATTCCTTTGATTGTTAGGCTATCATATATTTTGGTCATTCCTCTTTTTTAATCTAGGCCTACTTGCATTTAAAAAAAATATTGCTTTTACATTTCAAATGCAGGACTAAAAAGTCTTTAAATTTTTTTTATTGGACCAAAAACTGTAATCAAAGCGTTATGTAATCAACACAATTGTCAATAAAGAAGTATTTACTAATAATTCAGTCTAGGTTTCTTTTTTTAACCACACCTTTTTCCCTAGAAGTTTTGAATTTTAAACCCAGGATATCATCATTGAATTTAATTTGCTTGGTTCGCTGCGCTGTATAAATTATCTTTGCACTTATCAAATCTTTTTATCAAATAAATGAAAAAAGTTGTTTGGTGATCAATCAGTTCTAAGACTTACTTATTTTCATTTATTTATTTATTGTGTGTTTTTTTGTAACCTAGTTGAAAGATTATATACCAGGTGTTCAGAAAGTCCCGGATCGGCTTTGTAACTTTTTTTAAATATTTTATATTGACCTACAAAACTTAGAACATGTCTCTCAGACACAAAATACTATTTTAACATTTTAACACGTATTCAGTGTCCTCCAACCTCCTTAGGGGTACGGCCCACTATGAGTCAGAAGAAAATTTTAAATGTAGGCCTACTCATAGGTTGATATAATACGAAGACTTTTTGAACACCCGGTATATGATGTTGTAGACTGTCCGTCACAAGATACAGCAGGACTGTGGTGTGTGTCGTCTGGTCTGGGACTGTCATAGTCCTGTAGTGTTTGCTGCTGGACTGGAGGGGGTTATACGTATCTACGACGCCCGCAACGGAGCCAAGCATGGTCAACTAATGGGCCACCGTGAGAGTATTCTCGACATTGACCTGTCAACGTAAGTATCAAATACAGTTGACTGTCACTAACTCATAGCATCTAAAAAAAATTAAAATCAACTGGAATTGATAAAATATCACCTTGAATGTTAAATCACTGCCTCATTGGCTGAACGCATCAGCCATCCCATAATTTTCTCCTTTTCTTCTGGTTGTCTTCCGGAAACCTTGCAATGAAAAGGCTTAACCCTAGGAGTGGCAGATCGACAGAAAATGTCGATTTCAAAATGTGCCGCTGGAGTGGCGGGCGACAGAATATGTCGATTTATGTAACGTTTTTTTCAGTTACATGTTAAGCACATTTAAAGTTGGTGAAATGACATAACTCTTATACCAATGGAAAGATAAGATTCCGTAGTTTCATTTTATTATAAGAATGAACCTTATAACATAAATATATCGTTCTTATAATGAGTTACATTTAAACGAAAAATACGCGCTAACTCGCGAACGCCATGTTTTGTTGCGCAATCGTAAATGATGAGTCATTTCATTAACAAATAGCAGACGTAATTTTTGTCTCTGACAAAAGCAAGTGGTACCACTGCAACAAGCATAAAGAAATATTTTATTCTGTATAAAGTATAACGTCATTATACATTCCAACAGCTGATAAACAATTTTTGTAAATAGCCTATTTTTACATATTGTTCATGTGGCGGATCGACATAAAATGTCGATTTCTAAATCGCATATATATACAATGTGAAAAGTACAAAAACGTTGTTTTATATACTCTCTTGTAGACGAAGGACAGTAGAATTCAATGTTGTTAGGCTGGTCACACAAATAGAAGCTTTTGATTTTTCAAAGCTAAAAAGGAACAGAACACTTGTCATCGTCTAACCTAAAATGGCGGCGTCGTCGTGAGTTTTTGTTCGATAACAAAGACGAAGTGTGGGTTTATCCCTAATTTTACATTGTAATGTTCGTTTTAGTTCATTATTTTGTATTAGGCGAAATATTTATGCATTATTTTTCATAAATATTTATACATGTGTGATCCAAAATAGGATAAAAGGTCAGTGAAGTTTTGTGGGCTATAACAGCTGATCAGTTGTTTTGTTTACATTTTTGCTTTTGTGAAAACCAAATATTCTATTACTTATCTTATTTAGTTATTCTTATATAGAATGATATTATTGGCTACAAAAAAAAATATGGTTTTATCATATTGATATATTAGTAGAGGGCATTTGTGGATCTATCAACGTGTAGTTGAAGAATTTGACGTTTTCCAATTTTTCCGTATTATTGCTAGTAAATCTATAAAAATAATTATTTTGTGTAAATTATGATATGTCTATGTAGAGGAATAAATTCTGAACAAAATGCATATTTTGAATTGTGCAATAAAAAATTACGTTACATGTGACACGTGTTTGCTTTTGAAATAAAACTTGATAAATTTATAAATTTTATTTTTTTTACTTTTTTCTAAAAATCTACCTTTCTAAAATTGGTTTGTATTACCATTTTTGAATTCTACTGACTATTACGAACAAAATGAATATACGGTTCAATAGTTTATCTCTACATACTAATTTTATACAGATTTTTGAAGAACTCCCTTACAAATTCACCAAAATGAGCGTGCCACTCCACAAAGCACATACCGAAAATCGGTCTCGCCACTCCTAGGGTAAAAAAAAAAAAAAAAAAAAAAAAAAAAAACAGGCCAATATTTAAAAGAAGAAGGTGTCACTAAAGATCCAAACAAGTATCATAAGTTACCTGTTACTTGTGTCAATAAATCTCACTCATACCCAAGCCCCTTCCTGAGTTGTGTGCTCCAGGGATCCATTCTTGACCCTACACTCCCAATAGCTTGTCAACAACCCTTATGGGTAAGCGCCAAGTGGTGAGAGTAACTATTTTTTTTTATGGGTATATTGACAAAATTTTCAATAACTTTTACCGTTTTGTTCTAGCCGTTCTTTTTGAACATCTGATTTTACTGCTATTTTAAGGTTTTTATGGGTAAATCACAATTACAAATCTAAATTTCATAAAATGACCATAGATGTAGGCCTAGTACTTACATACCAAGTTCCATCAAAATCAGACCATAGTGTTTTGTAGCTCTATACTCTCTCTCTCACACACAGAAACCAATTTTTTGGGTTTAAAGGGGCTAAAAATAAATATAGCCATCCATAACTCAAAACTCAAAAATTTTGAATAAAACATTAGGCATACTTTCTCCATATGCCTATAGTCTTGGGAGAGAAATATTTATGTGATAATTATCTAAATGAAATCCTTTTCAGGGATGGCAACACTTTGGTGAGTGCCAGTGATGACTCGACGTGCAGAGTGTATGCTGTTAGTCCTCCAGAACGGTAGAACTTACAGCCACTAGACCATCAGCGGGCCTTGAAAATGTCTATTCAAACTACACTATTCATTATATCCATTGATTGGACCACAAAAAGAAAACATTATATCAAATCATTCATGAGCTGGAAATGCTAACCAGTATGTCAAACATTTTATTTCTCCCATGTACATTTTGTTAAGTTTTACATTCAGCGATATGTGTTTAATAATAAAATAACCCATACAAAAAGTGTACAATGTACCAGTACCTACAAATCTAGATTTGTGCATGAAATGGCTAAAAAAAAAAAACTGTAATTATTCTAAGTTGAAAAAGTTTTATTTTAAAATTAACTCAAACTATTCAAACTATTACATTTGAAATAAATGTTTGTTTTCAACCATCATAATACACTCTACTTGCAAGCAATAAGGTGCTTTACTACCTTAGTAGTATATCTAATCTTTTACACCTTTTGTAAACCTGAAACTGGGCATTTTCTTTAAAATAAACTTATGTACAGTGTATACTTCCAAGCCTTATTATTTCCCATAATCCAAATACGGCACTTTATTACTGTACCATTTGTGTCTATAAATAAAGTGAATAAAGTTTGTTTCATCAAGTGGTTCCTAACTTGTTTAGGTTCCGGTACCACTTAACTGAAGAGTGGACAAATAGACTACGTTTAGGTCTAGATTGTGCATTTGTTTATTCTGTCTGGTGGCCGATGGTGAATTTGATTAAATTTGTAAAATTGATTTACTTAATATTTTATATTTCAAAAATATAAAAGCACTTTGTATTTTATACCAGTACAATTCAGTATTGCATTAGAAAAGTCCCAAATATAAGCTAGCTAAGATTGTCAGTGAAGGATTTAAATTGTAGAAAAATGAAAATATTCAAGATTAATTTTTATTTCTTAAATAATTTAACCTTTTGCTTTTATACACTTGACGAATTTTACCTTTTTAGAACAGCTGTGCATTCTAGTGTGCATTGCATCTACCTTAGATTTTACAATTATTATTATTACAGTAGAACCTCTTTAATCCGAACTAATTGGGACCAGGGGTAGTTCGGACTATTGAATAGTTCGGATTAAAGAAAATATTGTTGTTTTTACAAAACAATAGCTAAAATTGATCAACATTATTTTGGTAAAAGTGAAAAAATCCTGCTTCCTACTAATATTATAAATGAGAAAGTTTAGATGTATGGATGTATGGATTTATGTTTGTGACAAGTAAACGCATTAACCACTGTACGGACTTTGCTGAAATTTGGCATGATGATAGCTCACATTCCCGATTAACATATAGGCATATTCTTATCTCAAAAATCCTTTCGGGCTCCGCCCCAGTGGCTCTATAGTTCCCCATGTTAACCTTATGAGTATTCATATTAAAAGGGAATTAAAGAATTTAGTTAGCTGTTTCAACTAAAAAGTTGGTTATATGATATGCAAAAGCATTAAAAACTTACAAGGATTACCAACAGGGTGCAGCACTATTATTTTTTTTGAATTTATGACAACAGCTAATTTGCAATCAAAAGGTGAGTGAGCGTAACGAACGAACTTCAACCTGGAGGCGAGTTAGCGTAGTGAACGAGCTAACCTGAAGGCAAGTGAGCGCAGCGAACGAGGTCCAACCTAAAGGTGATTGAGCGTAGCGAACGAACTTCAACCAGGACGTAATTGAGCCATGCGAACGAGCTCACTTATGAAGTAAAACGGGGCAAAGTCCGTGGGTACAGCTAGTGTTTTATAAAGTAAAATACAGTGTTTATTTAATACAGTACGGTAGTAAACATGGTGAATAAACAGTACTGTAAATTAAATACAGTATACAGTAAAGAACTGCTGTCCTGTGTATAGATTACATCAATGAGGGGTTCGGATTAGTGGACGTTCGGATTACGGGGGTTCGGATTAAAGAGGTTCCACTGTATATATTAGTTCGGAAAATTTAGAAAAAAATTGTACATGTATTTTAATATACAGTAATAGAATAACTTTGTCCATATTTCTTTTCAATCACTATACTGTGATCATTTTATTTCTCCCCATTGAGATATTTTGTTTAAAACAATTTTTTATTTAGTTGTACCGTTGTAAATCGTTGTATTAATAGTCAAAGGTTGTACACAACCTAATTCAAACGAAACAATCACCAAGCCATAGCGTATTGATTAAATGGTAAAAATTAACTGAACTCAATTAGAGGAACAGGCCATAACAAAAATGGTGTCAGTTGTAAGACTAATTTGTTTCAGCAGAGCTACAAAATTTTAAACAACATAGACGGTAAAAATTCATTGTTATGTTTTGCACTTAGTGACGCGACAAAAACTCGTTTAAAGCCTGTGGAATTGCTCAACTTCAATAATTAACGTCTGCAGCATTGCAGCAAACATAAAGTGTTCACAGAATGTTACGCTCGTTGCGCTGCATGCGACGTCAAATGTTAACAGCAGCATGTCCTCTCTGTGACGTTTAGATCAGCTGTAGTGTACAACATGTTTTGTTCAACTTCAATTTTTTTCTAAGCATGTTTTACCATTAAATATGCAAGTTCTTTAATAGCAAGTTCTTTGAAGTAAAAAATTTTTTGTCACTCTCCACATTAATAGAGCTGTTAGGTTGTTTGTGTTCGATCCATTAGTATGGCCAGGCTCGCTGTCATAAGTTTTGCAAAAGCTGTTTGGTTTTTTTTTCTTAGATTTAAGGAAAGGTGTTTTACAAACATTTACCGACTGGGTTGAAATGAAATATTTACTATTTAGATTTGGGTTTGTCGTAAATATTACAATGAAGAAAAAGCGAGAAAGCCTTGCCATTTTGATATACTAAAAATAAAAGTGAATTAACACTGTGCTGCATTTCTTGAGCAATCATTGAAGAGCTGATTTGCAAACTATAAAAACATAGGAAAGTCATAGAACACCACCAAAGTAGAAGAAATAGAAATAATGTTTTTTTTTAATTTATAATTTTTATTATAGACAACCTAATGTGGATATTAGTGGGAAATATTTGTAGTAAACACTAAAAAAAGAAGATCAGCCTTTGAAAAATGACAAGATATTTACAAGAAATGTTGATTATATCAAACTGTTATGTACATCGTGAGTATTTCCATAATCTTTGAGTCGACTCCTTTAGAGTCATCGGAAATTATTACTGTTCTTCGTGTTAAAATAACGTCTGTAATACTTAGCAATTGCTCGAATTCAAGCAACAGGTACACTAGAAAAATATTTTAAGATATGCCTCTTCAATTAATTGTGTTTATAAAAACTGTCATGCATTTCCTTTGCTATCCGTCCCAATTTTCATTTGAGTTGTTTATATCGTTGGCTGCAAGTCGAGAAACCTTACTTGGATAGGCTTCTAAGATAAGAACTTTCTTTGTGCTTGAGATCTCACTCCACTAAAAGCCTTTTTATGAAATAGAACCTTGACCTTTGACCTTTATCCCACACACAATTAAAGAATCACCTATCAGACCCTACAATAATTTGGACCATAGCATTAGTTATTTCAAAAAACATTAACGTCTTATTCTTTGATTTCAATTTAAAGAATACTCGTATTCAGGATTCAGGCTTTTTCATCAACAAATTTCTATTTACCAAACATTACTCCGTTTTTTACAGTTTATTCCAAACTAAACCTATTAAAAGAGTTACAACTTTGCACCAACGGCATAATTTTGTAAATAAATAACCCTGTTATGGGCTTTAATGTACAAAACGTGCAAACTCATTGGGAATGACTCAAACTTCTGCAATAAACGTTCGCATGAGAATAATGTTCTTATGAGATGAACAAATATAGCCTGCACGGTGTATAAACAGGTTAACTGTGAATTATATAGGGTCGTTTATTTATATGGGACTACTATACTCTCTGTAGCTAGCTTAGGCATTACGGTACACAATTACATGTTTCAATTATATAGAGAGGTGCTTACAGCCTAGGCCTACCACCGAGTTTAGTGTGATACTGCCCCATCAGGGAATAATTAAAAAAAAGAACTGTGACAAGATACCACTGCACTACCCCTCAGTTAAAGCCTTTACAACTTTGCCTAGTAAAATTTAGTAAAATACGTGGTTGGTATCTGGATGTACGCATTCTGGTTACCTTTGTGTCTGTACAGAACGTACAAACCCAACGTCCAACGTACAAACAGAACGTACGGAATGTCCAGAACGGATGGATGCAAAATATTGAACCTAATTAAAGTATTTACATTATTAATATACATTTTATTTTGATATCCTTCTACTCTAAAGAAGTTGTTACTGCTCCTATTCACTAGGGTGGTTCATTTAAAGAACGAAAACCATAACATATCTACGTGTTTTTGACCAAGCAATAACTAAAAAATAAAATAACAATAAAACAGTAATTAAAGTTGGACATAAGTATGTTTCGATCTACTCGTCCAAGGCATTATTTTATTTATCAATACATCAAGCCAAAATAACCTGTAATAGTCAAAATACTTTTGAATAATAATTTATTCTAACGGTCTAGCGTAACTTCAGGCCGATATAATGTGGATAGGCGACAACTTGAGTTGCAAAGTACTTTTAAGTGCTACTTTGCCTTCTTCACAAACTTCCTCTTTCTTACTCTGAAACTTTGAAATATATGATAATATCTCTTTTTATATCTCATTCAAAAACTACTCATAAACACAAATGATTTGTCAAAAAAAATATGCATAATTATGTTTGAAACTACTATTTGACTTGTTTGATTTATTTACTTCCCCCCGTGTATTGTTGATTAAAAATTGCTTCATTGGAAGTAGTATTTACTTTTTTAGAAAAGGTAAGAAGTACTGCATTCAAAACAGTTAGTTAGTTAGTTGTATTTGGCATTTTTCATGTTTGATATATGCTAATTATTGTAACAAATAAATAAAATTAAACAAATATATGCTAAAGGTATATATTTTAAATTTTTGAAAACACCAGCTAAATAAATTTAGGTAATCAAGTGGGTCTTCACATAGCTGGGATGGAATGGGTTGCAGAAGGCTGCCTGCTGCTGTGTGACCTGTACAGCGCTTTTGGACTGTGTTAACCACGACATTTTAATTGACAATCGTAGGCAAAATTGGAGTTGTAGGAAAAGAACAACTTTGGTTTTATTGTTATATTTAACTAATAGATAGATCAGAGATTTAAAATTTGCAAAAATGGTCAACGTGTCCCTTATGAAAAAGTTTATATATGGCCATATAAAATTTTTTTTATCCGGTTATATTTGGTTTTGGACCAAATACAACCAGATATGATCATATATGGAATCCCCCAGATATGATCATATATGGAATCCTCCATATATGGAATTTTTTAATAAAAAATATATAAATAAATAAAAAAATAACAATTAAACATATTTTTACCTTAAATGGTATAAACTATAAATTAAAACTATAATAAAAATTTTAAATTCAAAAATTTAAAAACAAAATTTTTAAGCATCTGACTGGGATTTGAACCCGG